AAAATTTATATTCAGGAGCTTCCAAAATATTTGCGTGGATACCACCGCTGCTCTGTAGAGGACGCTGCAAATCTAGCTGGTTTGATATACAAAGTACAGTACAACAATGACCGTACCCAGCTCGCAAATCTAAATAAGATCCAGCGAGATTTAGTTCCAGAGTACCTGCTGCGCCTTGGTACACAAGAAGAATGGAAGAAGGTCTGTAATGAATATTTCCTTGAATTTTTCACACTTCCATTAAATGATTCTCTTTTTATCAAAGTTTTTTTTAAGGATTTAGCTCTTTGGGAGTGTAATTTCTATTTTTTAATAAGGCTGCCATCCATGTGGTGGGCCAGAAATGAGGCGCAGAAGGTTGGAGGGTGTGTACCAGACATGATGAAAAACTGCAACTCAACTTCTGTTTATATATGAAAGTTCACTAGCTGTCAGGGCTTCTACTGTACTTCCCATTATATCAAAAACAATAGTCACACACTTGGTAGCATCTTTTATTTAAAAGGAAAGTATTTTGGATCATACAAGACTGTGTTCGATTTCTAACTGTATTGCGCTCAGAAGATTTTTGGCAAGGTCCTACCTTTCTTCAGAGCTTGTGCATCTCCATGAGCTGGCATCCATCTTGGATTTCTGCAAAGCATGGTGGGAACCTTTATGCCTTCAGGCTTCTGCGGCTCCTCCTCAGAAGGGTGTGGTTGAGCACATTTAAACCTGCTGTCTGCAAGTGTGCTCTGCACTTGTGTCCTGTATGTTGCCCTGTTGCAAGCTCTTGTGTTGTTCCCATTGCTCTCCTGGTAACCGACTCGGCTTGGACAAGACTACTCTCTGCGTTAACCCTTTACCTGACCTCCCGTTGCTGAACCCGGCCCGTGACCTGAGTATTCTTTGCCTACTGTCTAGTACTGTCTGCTCCGTTGTTATTGACCCGGCCTGTCTGACTACTCTACTCGTGTTCCCATCTAGCTCCCACCAGCTGTACGCCATTGGCGGCAGTCGTTATCGCAGCTGGGGTCACTCGGGGGCTGCGACCTGGTCTCAGGCTGCGTCAAGTCCATCCCCACCATCAGGGGCCCTGGTGAGGGGTAGCCTGGGGCTTAGACTCCGCACCCTGAGGGACTCTGGTCTGTGGGTAGTGGCTGTCGTCAGTCACGGCGTGACTGTACCATAGGCCAGCCTGCCCATTCCAGCGTTCCTGCCCTGACAATTTTCCATACTTCCTCTCCTATGGCTTCCAGAAATGGGGGATACCTTCGTGCACCCTTTTTGCAGTAACTTCAGACCAGGCATAAAATGGTCCATAGTTCTTTAGAGGCAAGTGTCCATTAAGGCAAATCATTCACAAGAGGTATCAAAGAGTCCATGGTTAGAAGCTACAGGTCCATGAGGGTCTCCAGGCTCCAGACCCTCATCAGGAACTCCAATTGGGCTCCCATTACCCCCAAGAAGGTGACAACTCCGGCCAAGTAACAGCTACATTTATGGCAACATTTCCCAATGCAGCTCTCACCAGGGAACCGAAGAGCCCCTTTTATGCGGATCTCTGGAAATTGGCAGGAGAATCCAGCCAATCAATTGCTCAGATCCACCACACATCTACATTGCAACAGTTTGCACCTGGCTGGCTCAGTAAACTAGAAGACATTAGCACACACAGGAGACACAGCTTCAGACAGATAGCTGCAGAACACATGTCAGCATAGCAGATACATTTGAACCCCCTGTAGGCACCTACCTACACACATGGAATTTGCCTATCCTGGGGCACATAAAAAATGTACAAGGCTCAGCATTGACATGAGAGAGTTTAGTGCTGGTCTCCCCTTCCTGTGACCACAATTAATAGCCTAGTCTAGTATCTTAATTGAGTTGCAAGGAACAGTAGGGGGAAGGCCAAACCTTGATTTCACTTTCTTAAGTCGGTGTCTGCTTATTAATGCTCTAGAATTGTAGGCAACTAGGACACTAGAAAATAGTGAAATAAATGTACAGGGCCTGCTCTATTTACTGTTCTGGACAGAAAAGATTACTTTAAGTTACATATATGTTCTGTTCATTGGTAAATTACTAGGGCACTACTACGAATAATGAGATAAATGTTCTTTCGTCTATAGAGAGTATGGGATCTAGCTTTATGTCTCTTTTCTGAATATAGAGTATTTCACAGAATACTAACAATGTTTTTTCTTGTGAACAGAACATCATAGTTGCTTATAATAAACATGAGAAGAAAACAGTGGATGAAGCCAAAGTGTCATTTTCTAAAGCATATTTGCAGATGGCCAACATACGGCTCTGCCTTCTTTGAGGTCAAGGTGAGCATATAGCATATAGGTTGTATTGGAAAGTCCTGGGGCTATTCTGGCTATTCAACTACCTGTAACAACATGTTCGAGGAAGTTTATATACTAGAGTGGTTGAGACATATATCATACAGATTATAGTGAAAGGAGATTAAAGAAACCAAAAAGCCCACCACAGTATCAGGGAATGTCTGAATTATTAATTTAGTCAGCTGTATCGATCATTTAATCGATCGATGAACAACAGTGCCTCCAATACAAAAATAAGTTATAAAAATTAATTAAGCTGACTTAATTATTCCCAAGTTATTTTGCCCTTGCAGAAATTATTTGATTAATACAATACTATCGGGTGTAAGTATGAACTGCAGTTTATAGAAATAAATAACATTTATTTGCAATAAGTCACTTTACAAACAGTCTGATTAGGATGTTGACACAGAAACTAAATTTATTTTTACAATGATCTGCTTACGATATTCTGCTAAAGCCTTCGTATATATATTGAATTAAATTAAATACTTTATTTCCCCTTGTAGACAGCATAACCATTTACAACTACCTGGCAGACAATAATCTGCATTTTACAGATTCCAACTTTTTATTTGTGCGCCAATACGACCAAAAGAAAATAAAAATAACAAATAAATAATAATAATAATAAATAAGGTCTTACTCTAGCGGTTATGTTATCATAGGAGAAATACTAAGTTACAGCAAGGATTATTGAAATTGCCATATTAAGCAAACAAAATTCACCAAGGAAATAATACACGATAGTTACCCACCAAGTATAACAGGTAGGCTTGAAAATGGCTGCTGACCAATGGGTGGATTTATCTTCCCAAAATGGCATCTACCTATGCTGGAAGATGTGTTTCCCAAGATGTCTGATGATGTAATCTCGAATCTCTGTGGATGACAAGCGTGTGATGTTTATCATGTTGATGATGAAGAGGTGTGATGTCTGCCTACCTGATTTGCCATTTATTCAGCGAAGACAATGCACTCATAAAACCCCAGAAACCTGGCTCAGAAGGTGTAACCTTATTTCTTTTTGGTGGATCAGGTTACTAGTCAATTATGTGTTTGTACAAGCATTAGCTCACGAGGCCACCGAATGGCACTCCAAGACTAGAACTTTTTAACACAACTGTATATAGTAAATTAATCTTTTCCTGCACAGATTGAACTATGTGATTTTACCTATTAAATTTAATTGAGGGTCTTGTGATTTCTAATTTATGATCATTACTCTTTTGGTGTAGCAGTATTTTAAATGGAAACTTTTAACTAAACTAACTTTCAGATATAGCGATTAAAATTTGAATTATACACATAAAAATAAATTGCACACTTTAAACTACTATTTGAATATGGCTACCTTATAACACGCACATTTCGAATAATACTGAATACTACAAATCAAAAATAGGATAATATTAATCATGACTGAGGTTTACAACATTCCATGAGGTTTTACATTATTTTGTCCTCATAACACTGGAATATAGAAACTTTTCCATGTTGACTTTGATTAAGAAGTTCTCACAGAGACCTTCAGCTTCAGAACAATCACCACCTGGGCAAACAGTTGATGTCTCTTCAACAATACACATTGGTGAGACCTGAAGGCTTTTGTAAACATTGACCTGAAGTTTTATTCAGCTTTCGGCCTGTTCATAATAAAGAAAAAAACTTTGTCCATTTGGCTGATACCATCTTAGTGTACCCAGGACTATTGGGTTATTTACTTGTTAATGCGGAACTTCACTCTTTCAATCAGTATGGACTAGTTTTAATCCGTATGTTGCTAGCATTAGTAAATAGGAAAGTATATTATATTTACAAGTTTTAGTTTTATTTTAACATTTTTCAGTTACTTCCTGGTTTCCAGGCCTAGGCAAATGATGTCATACATCCCAAGAGTCTTTAGAAGGGAAGAAGGGGTTTTCTAAATGAAGCACACCCTCCTGCTTGCATGCCTGAACCCAGGGCAGATGGATTCCAGGAAGTAAATTCTACACAAATCATCTGCCCTTACTCAAGACAGCCACGGCTAGAAATGCTAGGGGGTGCTTTTCAGTGTGTAGTTTCAGTGTAGTTCCCCTTTAAATTCCCTCCAATATCTTTGATATTGTGCTCAGTAGTATCTCATTATCTCGACAAACAGTCCTTCCAAGGCATTTTATTATTAACTAGGAGACATTCCACGTGAACCTATTATTTCTAAAATTAAATCCAGTCTCTTAATTCAAAATGGGAAAAATGACATCATATAATTTTTTATTCAGAAACTCTAACAACTGTAATCAACTGTAATCAGTTCATAGCACAGTAAAGCTTTCTTTAAATACTTGTTCCATCAAATATCCCAAAAATAAGAAATAACATTTGTAGTAAGGGGTTTTTCATAACTATGTCAAATTTTTCTGTCTTGCAGCAATGCTCTGACCTATCATACCCTGACATTGTGCTCATTGCAATAAACAGATTTGGAGTATCGCTCTATCACCCAAAGACAAAGGTAAAATAATTAAAGGTCTTAAGCAGGCCATAGATGGGTCGAACATCGGCCGATTTTTAACCGCCTCCTGCCCGCCATATAGTCCAATGACGGGCACAAGGTGGTTCTCTCATTCTCAGAGGACGTCATATGACGTCCTCCCATTCTCACCGCACATGCACGGCTCGGAGATCGGACACAGCGGATCACTGATCCTTGGAAAGAGCCGAAGATGTCGGCTCAGTCATGTGATCAGCTGTGTCCAATCACAGCTGATCACATGTAAACAGGGAAATGCCGGTTATCTGCATTTCTCTCCTCACGAGCTGTCACGCTGACAGCTCGAGAGGAGAGCCGGTAATCAGCATTCTTCTGAGGGGACATGTGCACTGATCATCAGGGCACTGATGATCAGTGTGCCCTGGTGATCAGAGTAGCCCCAGCAGTGCCACCTGTCAGTGTCCATCAGTGCCACATCAATGCCACATATCAGTGCCTATCAGTGCAAATCAATGCCACATATCAGTGCCCATCTGAGCTGCCTTTCAGTGTCACCCATCAGTGCCAGTCAGTGCCACCTATCAATGCCAATCAGTGCCACCTATCAGTGCCACCTATCAGTGCCAGTCAGTGCCACCTATCAGTGTGCATCAGTGCCCATCAGTGCTGCCTATCAGTGCCACCTAACAGTGCCAGTCAGTTCCACCTAACAGTGCCAGCCAGTGCCGCCTATCAGTGCCAGTCAGTGCCGCCTATCCGTGCCACCTATCAGTGTCATATATGAGTGCTGCCTTTCAGTGCCCATCAGTGATGCCTGTCAATGCCCATCAGTGCCACCTATCAGTGTCCATCAGTGCAGCCTCATTAGCGCAAATCACTTATTTCCAAAACTTTATAACAAAAACTAAGAAAAAAATGGTTTTTTTTTAAATTTTCTGTGGTTTTTGGTTTAAGAAAAAATAAAAAATCCAGAGGTGATAAAATACCACCAAAATAAAGCTCTATCTGTCGCAAAAAAATTTTTTTAATTTCATATGGGTACAGTGTTGCATGACCACGCAATTGTCATTCAAAGTGTGACAGTGCTGAAAGCTGGAAATTGGCCTGGGCAGGAAGGGGGTATAGGTGCCCTGTAGGCTAGTGGTTAAAAAAAAAAAAGAAACATTGGTCGTTCGATCGAACGATGTTACCACCAACGTTAAAAAAAATTGGCTGATTTTCGACCCGTTTATGGCCGGCATTACCCCCATAACTTCTGTCCCTTGCAGAGACAGGGGAGCAAACCATACAATGTGACAGCAATACAAATACATTATTTGGATTACAATGTTTTTATTTGGATACAAATGGATACATTTGTTGCAACCGCAAGACTTTTTCATATAAAATATGATAGCAGACTGGATATCCAGTTCGTAGGAAGGATTCAGGTGTCTCCCATTCCTATGATGGATTCACTTTAGCAGAATAAATTTCTTCTTCTTCTTCTTCTTCTTCTTCTAGGTCACGGCTTATGCGCAGATTTTTTATCGGTAAAACGATCGGCCAATTTGCCCATCATTGCCGGGAAAATCGGCCGCAAATTTTCCAACATGGTCGATAAAAAAACTGTGCAAAAACCCCGAAAAAACGACCGACCAATTAACCCACTAACGGTGCGAAAATCGGCCGAAAAATTGGTCGATTCTTGACCCGTCTATGGCCAGCATTACGTACAGAGGATCAGGTTTATAATCAGATCAGATAATGCAGCTGGGGTACCATCGTCTGACTTAAATGTGAATGCAAACCAAATGCATTCTAAATACATGCATTATAGAGCATGTGTACACACTAATTATAGCGCATGTTTACATAACTGCCTAGTGCCAAGTTTACATCTTCTCTGCTAGATCAGCCAAGCAGGGAGGTTAGAGATTGCTATGGTTGATTCCAATGATGTGTATGCCATTTCATAGACTTATCTCTTTAATTTACAATTTGTATTTTTACTAAGTGCCAGAAGCATAGCTATTGCTATACTTCCAACGTTGGACCTTCTGATCTCAGCTACTGGGGCTGCAGAGTTGCATGCAGCCACTGTGCCTGCCCCTCCCATCTTTCTGCCCAATCACAGAGCACTTTGTAATGTGTGAACTCATTTACAAAATACAGAGACTTCTGTGAATGATCAGCAGGTAGGAGGGGCAGGCTGTATGAGAGAGCAGCATGTCTTCTGTCAGAGCCCCAGGAATGTAGCAATAGCTGTATTCTTTTGACCTCTATAAAACTATCAGATGTAAATAAAAGAGAAAAGTCCATGAGGTAGCATGCACCTTGTTGGACTTAACTCCTAGTATTCCAGTGCATTGTACAAAGAGGCTGAATTCCCGGAGTTCAGCTTTCAATTGGTTCTAAAGCCTCAGGGTTTTTCACCTTAATGCATTCTATACATTAAGGTAAAAAACCTTCTTTGTTTCAGAATGCCCGCTCACCCCCCTCATACTTACCTGAGCCCCATCACAATCCAGTTGAGCTGCGGCTCTCCTGGCTTTGTCCCTCCTCACTGGGCAGATCGATAGCAGCGGGAGCCATTGACTCCCACTCTTGACAATCAATTTCAGTGATGAGGGAGCGAAGGGTGGGTCAATAGACGCAGCAGTGGGACATGAGAGCTACCATGGGAATCGGCTTCCTATTGGGGGCACCAGCAAGAGAGGAGCCAGGAGCGCCGGTGGGGGACCCAAGAAGAGGAGGGTTGGGCTGGTTTGTTCATTTCTATTGCACAGAGCAGGTAAGTATAGATATGATTGTAATTTTTTCCTTTACAACCACTTTAAATAACTAATATAGGGTATCTAAAATATTTAGGAGATAAATATCAAATATTAACATTTCATTAACTACTAACTTTCAGCATTAATTGAAAACTGTCATGGTACAACTCCACTATTTACTATTTTAAATTTGTTGAACTTAAAAATGTGCTAATATGACTTGAAAGATTTTGTAATTCACATTTATTTGCAATAAATGTACACCTTGTAAAACAAATGTATTTAAAACATGTTTGAAACCCCTAATAACCTTTAAAATATGATATAATATGATATTTAATACCTGCAACTTTTTATACTAGTTAAAGGATAGCTATGTGATAAGAAATTTATTGATGTAATTTAAAATGTGATACATTCTTTTCTTTCAAAATGAGTATAAAACCATTAAAACATTATTTTAAAAAAGCTCCTTTAATATTTATGACTTTGCCTACATGCATATGCATTAATAGATGCCCAGCTAAGTTGATCATTTGCTGTGTCCAGTATTACAGTCAGAGCACTTACATGTGTTTGACTTTGCCATGTAATGTGAACTCTTGGCAGCCTTTGATAAATTCAAGAAAAAAAAACCATTCTCTTGCACTTCTAATCACTTTAGTGCCAATAATGAGGATGATTTTGTTGACAACAATTAGTCCACACTAGTCTTCCAAGCAAAAAGAGTAAAAATAGCTGCTCACAATAAAAGCCAAGGTTAGGTTTATTGAAACAACCTGATGCACAGACAAGGCGCTCTTGTTGCAGCCACCTGGGGCAATCCCATGAGGTTGTCTCCATATCCACAGACAATACATATAGGAATAAACAGTGGTATATGTTATTACCTGTGAAGAATGTAATCACATATACAGTTCCATATACATGTTATTACATTCATTACAGGTAATAACATATACTACATACTGTGTTTGAATGGGATGTTTCCCATTATTATGGTTAGGTGAAGATATAAGGTTATATATAATTTTGTTTTATTCTCCTCTAACTGACTTCAAGCATCTATGTATAAAGCCCTGTCAATTAAAAAATTGAGACAATAGGTATCAAAGAAAATGTCCTATTTCATTCTATGTTGAATGACTTTTTATACGAGGGCAATGTCTATTATCTGTTTTGATACATTTTTCTAATGATTTAAAATATTTTCTAATAAATGGATATGCTGGGTGGATGGTTCTATGATCTAGTAAGCTAGAACTATAAATTGACTTGGATCAATAGAGAAGCTTACAACTTTTATAGTTATGAATAAACTAAAGTGTAGCTATATACTCATAGATCTAGTATTAATGTTGGTGTTTCCATTACCTGGAATAATGGATTCAAAATGATGAATATGTTGTAGGTTTCATTAATAAACACTAAGGTAATGGTTTAATTTAATTTATTTTATTGTGATACACTTGGAGGTTAGAGATTATTGTTACAGTGTTGCTTGTTGTTAAATTCACTGTGGCTAAGAGCAGTTGAATACGGAATATTAACTTCATGCTGTTGTGTGCAGTTAGTGCTTGGGACTGGCCACTGTGAGAGCTGATTTATACATGTTCGGTGCGGATTGAAGTTCAGGTTTCACAGCTAATTGACACAGTAGTTGTTCAGCGGTTCATGTCAGGTTTACATCAGGTTCAGGTCAGGATTCTATCCTGTTCATACATGTGCTGTTTAGAAATGTTTCCCATAGACGTTAATAGCCTGTAATCTGCACCTGAACCAGACCGCACTGCTCAGAAATCAGGCAGCACTCTTTTTCAATCTGCACTGAATTTGAACTGCCAGTGCACCGGTCATATGTGAACAGGCACCATTGGAAGCAATGTTATTTTGCAGGTCATGCGGATTGGATGCAGCTCAAACCGCATCCAATCTGCATATATGTGAATTGGCACTTAACTAGTGGGCGGTTACTGTGAGAATCATTCACCTAGCTCATTGATGCAAGCTCAGAGATGCAAGTGTGTATGCGATCTGGATATAAGGACTGTCTCCCTGTGCTTTTGATTAAGCCCCATTTGGTGCTTGCTTGCACCAGGTGGACTTGTCTGGGCAATAAACTAAACCTTAGCTTAGTGAGCAGCTATTTTCCCTCTTTTTTTTTTTCCCCGGGAAAACTAGTGTGCTGCATGTGAAGCAGTTCACATCCACAGGGAGCCTGCTCCTGAAGTCTGGGGACAGAAGAGGGAGACGAAGCCTGTAGCAGAACACAATCTTGTTAAGTAAATTAGTCCACTTAGGTAATTTCCGTGTTTTATTAAATGTTTTTTACTGTATGTATTCATGTTCAATGTGCATTCTGCCATGTTTATAAAAGGCTAAACAAAGATATTCTCTCTGCTGAATGTGTTTACTGTATATAATACATATTCAGTATAAGTCACACTATAGTAGGCTCAAAGTATATTTTGGATAATACAACCTGTTCACAAAGAACTGAACATAGCACTAAAGGTTTTGGTCTAATTTTCTGAAGAATATGACATTTTGTTGTCTATTGACTTGTCAGCCTCTAGTAGTGCTACAACAGATTGCTTTCAAACCACAACACAGCAAGGATGAGCTACAAGTGTTATGATAACATCCTTTAATGCCCAGTTGGATACATAGTTACATAGTTAGTCTGGCTGAAAAAAAGACAAAAACTCCATCCAGTTCAACCATAAAAAAAAAGTTATAATCTTATACCCATAGTTTGATCCAGAGGAAGGCAAACAAAACCAGCAAAGCACGATCCAATTTGTTCCTGCAGGGGAAAAAATTCCTTCCTAATCCCCTGAGAGGCAACTGGATATTCCCTGGATCAACTTTACCTATAAATGTTAGTATCCAGTTATAT